ATCTAAAATTTCTGGATCTGTCACTGACTATAATCATCGAGGTTATGTTTGACATTTTGGAACCAGAACGGCCCGTTCTGGTTGCACTCTTGATGTGTTAATTTTGCATCCGGAATGACCCGTTCCAGGTGCAAAATTAACACACCAAGTGTGCAACCAGAACGGGTCGTTCTGGTTTTAGAACAGGCCGTTCTGGCTCCAGATGCATTAAAAAAATTTGCATTCACGCGTGCATCCACGTGGCATCCACGTGACCAACAGTTAACTCCGTCTAAATAATTTGGACGGAAGTTCGACATTGCAATAATTTAAATTATTAGGGACTAAATTGAAACCAAAAAATAAAGTGGGACTAAATTGAAACAAAAAAATATTATAAGGGACTAAATTAGGGTTTTAACCAAAAAAATTCTTATACTATCCTTGAATAATTACACACAACCTTCTAATAATTTTATTTGTGTATAAATATTAGAGGTACTTCGTGTCTCTACCCCTTTATTCTTACACAGTGTTACAACATAGAATAAAGATATATTAGATTCATTTGTATATATTTAGATTACATAGAATTTATCTTCTATATTTAATTTTTAGTATTATATTATGATATTATATATATATATATATATATATATATTATTAACTTAGCTTTTATACATATAAATATTATTGATTTAATCCATGAAATTAATATTTTTTTTTTACATATTTTAATTTAGTCCTTATATATGAAATACATTTTTAAATAGGTCTCTACATGATCAACACATTCTTAATTGGACTCTCTATAAATAGGGATCAAATTAAGAACATATTAATGTGTAGGAACTAAATTAAGAGTGTGTTAGATACATAAGGATTGAATTAACAATGTATAATCTAGTTAATGGTGTCGAGAACTAAGTCAGTAATATTTAATAAGTATAAGAACTGATTTAATATTTTTTTATATAAGGACCAAATTAAGAGTATGTAACACATGCAATAATCAAATCATACATGTTTTGTATGGAATATCCCGAACTCCTTCAAATCTCCTTCTTCTTTCGATTTTTGTCAAGCTTTCTGTCACTTCTCGATGGATAGGGTTAAGTACCTACAAACGAGTCTGACAATCAAGTTAGTCTTATCCTCTAATATTCATAAGTTTTATATGTATCTCCCTTTTTTACTCTCTAAAGTAACTACCAAAGTGATTTGTAAACTGCTCTTTTAACTTAGCAAATTGTCTTTGTCAGTTGCAATTGGAAATAACTGACAATGTTAAAAGCTATTAAGCTTTACATAAACTACTGAGCTCTTATTAACTTGGTTAGTACACAAGCTCTCCGAGCTCAAAATCTTGATGAGAAGAATGAGCTAAAACTCATTTCATATGAAATAAAATTTGTTACAATTCATTTAAATTTATTTGTTATTGTAATGACAGCGTTTTATGCATACCAAATTAAGGATGTAATAATTACAAGGTGTCTTTTCATCTCACCCCTCCATTATGGGGCATCTTTTTTTTTTTTTGTTCGTCCCTGGAGTATCCACCGCCGATAGCAGTGACTAATCTCCTCGCTACGTTGGAGGCACCTCAAAGGGTGGGACAGCTGGCCCCAAGATTTAACGTGGCTGCATACACAAGGTAGGATTCAAACCCCTGACCTTGCTTAAGCGTGGATCAACCCCTATTGTCTCTTCATTTCCAATGAATCATTTCAAAATACACTTCTTCGTTAAATGATTCTTCAATTGAAGATTGAAAAATTACCTTATAAAATATTGAGAACTCTCTTTCTTTTCTCATATATTGTTCATCTCCTCGTTTCCCTTTGTTCTCCTTCGTTTCTTCCTTTTTTTATTGTTGAGATTTGAAGAGTAGAAGTTTCATTTTCTTCATCCTTAGTTTGTGCCTTTCTCATTTTTAGGAACCCAATTTTCCTTCCTACTTTTGTGTTTGTAGGTTTTAGTTTTCACTTTCACTTAACATTGTCAATATGTTTGGCAATTCTAGGTTAGACTTCTCTGTCCCCATTGGTAAAGTATCAGATTCAAAGAAGAAGGGTTTTCCTTCCTTTTTTTCCCCTCAAATCCATTCTAATTAGGGATGGCAAATAAACCCGTACTCGTGGGTAATACCCGAACCCGTCCCGACTTTGATGGGGAATACCCGATGACCGGGTACAGGTACGGGTATAGGTAAAACTCAATATGTGAAAACGGGTACGAGTACGGGTATATACATACCCGCCCCGTACCCGTACCCATAGCTGATTGAATTATGTTAAAAAGAATTAATATTTTATTATGTGTAATTATTTTTTATAATGTGAAACATTTATAGTTGTTTAATTATTAAGAAATCTCTTGATTAAAATATGAGATAGAGAAATAATTTAATTATAATTATAATATAATTAAAAAATAATTTAAAAATATTGTGTATTTTTTTTTAAAAAAAAATTAATAATAATTTTTTATGGGTACAGGTATATCCGATACCCAACGGGGATGAAAATTTCATACCTAGCGGGTACAAGTACGGGTACGGGGATGAATTTGAGTCGCGAGGACGGGAACGGGTATCATAAAACCCGTATCCGACCCGCCCCGTTGCCATCCCTAATTCTAATCATACTAATATATTTATTCCTTCTTCTAAAGAAACTTCAATTAAGAAAGTTGTATTGAAGAAAACACTAAATGTAAGAAACGGAAAAAAGTAGAAGCTAAAGATGGTAATAAAAAAGGGGGAAAAGGGGGTAACAATAGAAAAAATTCTCATCCTTTGATTGTTGTACTAGATATGAATGGGTAGGGGGAGATGTTGGCAAATATGGGAGTAGGTATAAAACCTCTGTTAATATAACATTGCTCCGAAAAAAAAGGTGACAATTTGCTCTTCATTAGTATTAAATCAAATTGTCATTGAACCTTGTCTATTTGAAGAACATGTTACCAATCTTGTTATATTTATGTATATAAGTGATTTTTAAAGATCTTGGGATTTCTATTCTCTTATTTGCTTTTGAATGTGAATTTTTAAACAAAATCAATGTAGCTCCTATTCAGTTACACCCAAATAGTTGGGGATTCTTACATGCTTTTCAAATATTGTTGGTAAACCTCCACATGGTTGGCGGTACTCATTCCAATGGACTCTTTCAAATATTTTTTCAATCATATAAAAATTTTAAAGAAGAATTCTTCAAAATTCATCCTGCTTGGAATGACCCTTAGCTAGATATTGTATTTCATGAACATGGAAAAACCAAGTTTCCATTTTATTAGCAATCTCAAATTGTTAAGTTTATTAGGACAAATGGTGTTGTTTTAACCTCGTCTAAAGTGGAAAATATTGACAAGTTACAACTATTACCTTTAGAGAATAAAGTGATTTTGTCTCTTCCTCATTCGAATAATCTCTTTGGTAATTTAAAAAGAGTATTATAAAATTTTGATCAAATTTCTTTCTCACTAACACATTGTTATGTTTTTTCTTTGTATCATATTTAATCATTTATTTTGTTACAAATATCATGGGTCAAAATACTTGGCATGATATCAAGCCCAAGTTTAACTTGAAGGAGAGTAATTATAATGTTCAAGTTAATAAGGATGGAGCTTCTACTAACGCAAAGAGGAAAAAATTATCTTTGATGATGCTTAAGGATCATTAAAAGGGAAATCAGTACAACTTGAAGGACAA